TTTCTTTTCTAATAACTGCCCTTTTCCCTTCTATTAAGTGCCTACTTTGCCTTTCCTTGCACCCCTAATTCAAAGCAACGCAGAGCCCCCTTTTCTATAATTTTCCTAGAGCTCACATTAAGAGTTTTTATAATTATATTACTTATAAAAGAACTGTTCAGTCTCCTTCATTTAAATAGATTGAGCCTAAACCTTATCAGAGTTTTTTTTGGTCCTCTTTATAAGAAACAATTTTTCGCACTGCGACCCCACAAATCTTTAAATTCTTGCTCGCTTGCTTCGCTCGCTGAACACTTAAAAATAACTATCACATCGAACTGATAGGTATGTTGCTCGAGCAGTATCTTGTACCACGTGAAGAGAGAAGTGAATATTGATGTCACAACAAAGTAATTGTATAGCCCAAAAATCAAACGATAATGAGTCTTTTGTATTGTTTTTCTTTCTTTTCTCTATGAATGTCAGAAATACATTATTGAAAATATGTGTGTCTTCTGTTAACTCAACAGTTCAACAAATATTTGTTTCTGGAGTAGTCAATTTTATTTATATTATAAATGAAAATTACCTTGAAAATATGTTTGTTAATTTGTTGCAAATGAAAATCAATAAAATCCCTGTGAAAGGGAAAAAGTATGTAAAACAAAAAATATTGATGTCATCCCTGGTATTGTAGTCACAATCCTGACGATGTAGGGGTATATAGCAATGTATACAAATGGTGTATGTTCACTTTAAGGTTGTCCTTTGTAGGTGCCCCTTTTCAGAAAGTGCCCTTTTTTATTGGTGCCCCCCCCCCCCGCAATTTGGAATATGCTCCGCCGCCCCTGGTTGAACTTCTCTTTTATAGTCTCTTCCTCCATCCATACTCCCCCTCTCTATCTCTCTTGTTCTCTCTTCCTCTGTCATAATTTCTCTCAGTTTGTTCATTATTCGCTTAATCAAGTCTCATTTCCATTTGCAACTTGATTGATGTCATATTGTTTCGATCATTAAAGCATTAGAAAATATAATCTTATCATTCAATTCATTTCTCTCTATCATGTTTCCTCTATCTCTCTCGTCCCCCTCGCCCCTCTTACTCCCTCTCTCGTTCTTCCCCCTCTCTCCCTCTCTCTTTCTCTTTGTCTTTCGCAATATCTCTCTTTGTCTATCTTTGTCCCTCTCTCTCTCTCTCTCTCTCTCTCTCTTTCTTTCAGAGTGTCGCTTTCTCTCTATATCTCTCTATTCCTATCTATGTCTGTCTCTGCCCCCTCTCTCTCTTTCTCTCTATTTAAACTTGATTTCATTGTGCACCAGTTAACCATGAAAACTGCAGGTATGTTCCTATTGAAATAGAGCGTGCTCACAAATAAAAAGTCACCCCATTTGAACAAACAAAATGGCCCGAATTCACAAAGGAGGTTTGTCGACAAACCAAGGTTCGTCGACAAACCTTCTTTTGTTTCGCCAAACCTCCTTTAGTTCTTTACAAACCAGGTTTGTAAAAAGCGCATAAAACGCGTCATATGACGTACGAAAACCAAGGTTTGTCGACAAACCTCCTTTGTGAATTCGGGCCAATATGTTTTGGTTGCGGTATTCAAGTTAATATGACATGATCACGTAGTACTGCCGTTCAAAGTCGAATTCATTTTAGACTAACCGATTTATCATTACCCAATAAACAGAACACTAAAAAGTAACCTCTTTTGGGAGTGTATTTTAAGTGATTCCAAAGTATAGTGCCTTTTGAACTAGATTTAAACGTTATCGACACGTGCCTTCATTTAAACAAAAAAGGTACTCCTGTTCACGTTTTCATCTAACCTAAAAACCACCAATTTATCGCGCGACTGGAGTAACGTGATTCCACTTACCTCTGTAAATCAAGTGTTTATGACCAAATAACCACTTGACCAAGCAACGGTTTTTTTGTCCGTTAACCGATGGTGGTGATAAATACGTATTAATTATTTGGTCTTTTAAGCACCTTTATCGATTGGTTTCACAGGTTATCCCAGGTTGATGGTAATAATCACGTTACTTACACCGGCTAATCGTCTTATTGTTCTGTCCGTGAATTTCTGGTTATATTAAATTAGTAATTCTGAGGTGTCTTACACACCTCTTTAAATGGTTTCAAAGTTACCATAAATTTATTGGTTATGATCACGTGGCTCAAGCTGATTGCTGTGAATACGTAATATCTAGGTGTGAAAATTAGTAATTATTAGGTGTCTTAAAACACCTTTTTAAATGGTTTCGAAGTTACCATAACTTTCTTGGTGATGATCACGTAGTTAAAACTGATTACTAATCTAAGCTGTGAATCCGTGATATTTAGGTGTGAAAAATTAGTAATTATTAGGTGTCTTAAAACACCTATTAAAATGGTAGTCAAACTTGCCAGCAAATTCGCGGTGATGATCTCGTGACTCAAACGGGTTATTAATCTAAGCTGGGCATACGTGACTTTTAGGTGTGAAAAATTATTCATTATTAGGTGTCTTAAAACACCTATTAAAATGGTAGTCAAACTTGCCATAAGTTCGCGGTGATGATCTCGTGACTCAAACGGATTATTAATCTAAGCTGGGCATACGTGACTTTTAGGTGTGAAAAATTAGTCATTATTAGGTGTCTTAAAACACCTATTTAAATGGTAGTCAAAGTTGCCAGCAGTTCCGCGGTGATGATCTCGTGACTCAAACGGATTATTAATATAAGCTGGGTATTCCGTGTTTTCCAGGTGTGAAAATGAGTTATTCTTGGGTGTCTTGCTGGTTTCACAGTTACCATTTAAGTTCCGTGGTGATAATCCCGTGACTGTTGGCATATTTCCAGGTGCACCAGTTGATGACTGACTGTTGGCATATTTCCAGTTGAACCAGCTGACACCAATTAATTTGCATATTGAATATGGGGTGCGTGCAGATCTATGTTTTTTAAACAATTTATCTGAATTTACAGCATATATCTTAATTACTGATGATTTAGTTATATGCAATTCATTTCGAAAATACTACAAATATAAATTACCAGTTATTAGGACATTTCGCTACTTCGTATAAATTACATTTAGTTAAACATGAATAAGGGAAACATTAACTATGAACTAAAATAATTTCAATAAAATACAAGTATCTGAAAAAATGTCGATTAATTAAATTATGTAAGTCTACTTAGGCGAGGCGTCAAACATATCGATACCAGCAGGCTGGCGCCTCACGTATTGGCGCATCGAGGCTGCAATTACGGCCGAAGCCTGGCTGGGGCAATTATTTTTCACTTATTAGCCCAGCCGGCTTGCGCCAGGCTGGGATCTGAGGCTCGGATTCCATTCAAAAGGCGGCAGCCGGCGCATGCTTTTGAATGTCATTTCCTACCGCCAGCGGTAGCTGGCTGAGCTAATTTAAAAAATGCAGCCAGGACGCACAAGTGCAGTTAGCTGCCGCTGGCTGGTATATTTATTTTTGACGCCTCGCCTTATTATCAATGCCTTTACATTGGAAATACAGACGTACCAGTATTGAAGTGTTGTTGCTGTTCAACTGGTTGGACGTTTTACTAAATGGTTCTAATGGCTAGACCAGTTGAATTCTAACTGGCCTGGATCAACTGGATCATTTAGCCCATTTCAATTTCCAGGGTTACCCGTTGGCATTAACTGGTTCATCAACTGGACCAGTTGCAACTAGCTTTCTCTTCTGGGATGTTTGCACCCACCCCCACCCCCACCCCTCTAATCCCAAACTGCTTCCGGCGCGCCTGGACGTAATTATGGAAAATCCAAAACACGATGTTCAGAAACGGGATGAGAACGTCATTATTTTGGTTTATTTATTGTGTAAAATTTTCGTATTTATTGGGTGGAACGCGGGTTACAGTAACATATTTCCTCTTCGACGTAAATTTCACGTGAATGAAGAACATGATTCATCTCAAGTCAGCCTCGTAATATTCACGTGAATTTCACGCAGATATTTTGACTAAAACTATCACTAAAGCTTTACGTGTTTCTGTGACGCGATAATATCGTTTATGAAGATGTAATTTCATAACCAAACAAACACGGAAGTATTAGGTTTACAAACCATGGTCTCCAAGGTAGGGATAATCACGTTATTATGGTGATATTGCAGTGACAATTGCGTGATTTAGTGTACGTGTGTTTTAAGTTATCTAGTGCAATAAACGTATTAACACATTTACGTAAATGTCAGGTGTTTGAAGAACGTAACTCTCCTCAAGTCGATACCTTGACATTGACGTAATTTTCACGTGATTTTGTTTATTGGGTACGTACATTCGAATATGTCCACCTTTCCCAATGATTTCCTTTAACAAAAACAAATCAAAGTGCGTTTTGCACAAAGTGGGACGTCTCCATATGTAAAAGATACTTGGGGGTTATTTGTACAAGTGCTCTCTCCGAAATGGCTTATACCTCTAGATCAAATGGAACTGGTGTATTTTGTATAAAGGATATAATGGCCTATGGGGCGAAAGCCCAATTGACCGAAGGCCTGCGAGACCGAAAACCAAATACACTGTATATGACATACAATACATACATGTAATTACGATCGTGCACACACATTTGGCCTTGATTGTTCTTGTTTGTTTAGTAGCTATCTTAGTGTTTAGGATCCCTTCGAAAAATAAGTACAATACATGTTTATCGGCCCCTAGGCATATCAAGATTTATACTGCATTTTAGAGATTAATTCGGTAAAGTTAATTTTTGGAGAAAAGCACTATAGAACATAAGCTGTATATAAAGATTTAAAAAACTTGGGGTGAAAAATATGAAATCTGAAAATGAATAGCTCACTTTTCATTAATGACAAAACTCACACCATCTTGAATTAGTTTAATTGATTGTGATGACGAGTTCATGATTATAATTTGAGGGGAAAATGCCAATAAACTCTTCGTGTAAAGTGAGTACTTTGATATTGGCAGAAATAACGCATCTGCTCAGCTGAAAGTCCGATGTCGAAACACAACTTGTTATCAAGTAATATTTGCCTCAAATAAGACGTTGATTACAGACAAGTCAAGAAAATGTCCACAAAAATGTATTACTGGAACTAGTCGCCCACAATTTGATAGGCAATGTCACATATGATTTGTGTATTGTTCTTATTTTACTGGAAGAATCCATTTCTATTTAAAATCTGAAAACCATTGCAATTTGTTTTCCATACTGTCCAGCTCATCTCGCGAAAAGTGATATAAAATGTGGACACTAGTTTTCTTGAAGAGTTTATCAAATATTAGTTTCTCACAAAACTTTTTTTAATAGGGAGACAAAAGATACGTGCCAGAAGCGAAAATCTAATGTCCAATCATTAAGATATAATTATACAACATAAAAACTGTGTAAATATAAAATATATGACGCTCAAAGTACAAACAATATTTCGTATACAAAATTCTTTATGGATATAAGCTTCTTTACTAAAAGAAAACAAAAAAGAGTTTCATGAATCTAGCAACTGCAACACGCATACATTCATTTGTTTCTACAAACCTCATCTGTATTGCAACTACATAAAAATGGTTCTTGTACATGTAGATGAAGTAACCTAAAACCTACTGTAGTAATTTTAAAAGAATGAAGTATGCACGCATGCCTAGAATATGCCTACGTAAATACAAAGAGCCCCGCAAAGAAGAATGTATCCTTTGACAAATCAGCTACAAAGAAAACGGACAATTGATTTCATGATGAAGAAACTTTTATCTCCCAAAACAATTTTTTTTCATACTGCACCTTTAAAATCAGCAAAATCAATAAAAACAACACTTCCGCAGCAAACTGCTGCAATGGTGCATTTAAAAAGTGTAAACTATGAATCTGTCTGCCCAAGGGATTTTAAAGTTAGTGATTTATTGTTTAGTAAAAGGGACATGAATGGTGTGTATTTTGTCAACCACACGCAGCCAAAGTTCATCAGAGATAGACAGCTTGTGGCATATCTATTTACATGTTTTTTCTACAATTATTAAATACAATTTTGAGTACCGACTGCACGAAAAAACATAATTTCATTATAAAATCACAAACAACCGGGTGGAAATAACTACTCCAAACGTTATTAAGAAAATTCCGCTTACGTTACTTCCTAAATGAACAAATTTGACAACAATTTTCCAGAGTTATATTAAAAAGCGTCTTGGTGAACTACATTTTTGTTGTTGAGTGTTTTCTATTACATTATCATTATTTTACATTGATGTTTTTAATAAAAGAGTTTACAGCAGAACAACTCGGTACATTTGGATTATTATTATTGTACATGAACATGGAGTCCCACATGTACATTTTTATGTACGTCCTGACATAACGAAGTATCGGCTGTAACGAGGAAAATCAATTGGTTCCCCAGTAATACCTGTTTCTCACCTGAGCGCTATTATCATTACCCGATCATTGAATTAAATTACTATACTTCACATTACAGCGTACATGTACCCCCTTCGAATGATTGTAGACATACGATATATTCACATTCAATACAATTGTTAATGGAAAGAACAATACCCTCTTTATGCCCCAAGGCCTAGACTATGAAAAATACAAATTTAATAGATTTCTGCTTAGCTACCTTTCATATAACATTTTCAACTTGTAATTATATGTTTATAGTACTGTTAATTTACGGTTGTTTATACTGATAGTTAGTAGTTAGTACCGTTTATCGACATATTTTATACTGTATGTAATATCAAATTTACCTTGAAATGATACGATAATAATGAATTGAATAAAATAATTCAAGTAATGACAACAACAATAATAATAATGATGGTAATAATCATGATATTAATAATCATGATAATAATTATAACAACAATAGTAATAATTATAATATTAACCTGTTGAAACCCACCTCAGTAAAGTACTCTTTCTGGAGGCACGTTCAAAATTATTGTTGGTAGTGCTTAGTAGGCGTAAACATGTTGTTTTTGAGGGGGCTGGGCGTACACAGTAGCGGGCTGGGTTACCATCTAAAGAAAAGATACAAGAAAAATAAACGTTAACAATCAACAAAATAATAAAACCGGTCCCAAATTGTAAGTTATGCATTGTTAAAGGGAAAGTCAATCAGAGAAGCGGGGACTTCGGGTGATTCTCTCATTCAAATCAGTTTACACCTAGAAAATTGCTCATTAGTTTAAAAATCATCTATGAACAGTAAATTATTATACTTGTAAATAGAGGGTTTTATCCCAAATCATTCGGTGTCATTTTTGTGTGGTATGTGTTGACGCTTGGATGAACAGGCGGCATTGTTTGCGAGAGTGCGAGAGTGCAAAAATCGACTTGCGCCAAAGTGATGCCTACAGTAGGTATTATGTTGGGATTAGCGGAGTGAGAGAATTAATTGAATTTATCAACTGAATGCATTGCATATGCTTTTTGCAGAAGCAAAGTCACATACACAAACACACACGCACATAAATGTGCGTTGATATTTGATGTTCGATATTTTATGTGTGTGGCATGATTAATTGTGTTAGGGATGTTATTTGGATCTGCTAGGACCGCATTAATACCCAAAACCCAATTGTTTTATGCTAACATCGCATAAGGAACTTTGGCGCGAGTCGATTTTGCACCCTCGCAAACAATTCCTCCTGTTCATCCAATCGTGAGCATGTACCACACAAAGTGATACTTAATGATTCGGGATAAAACACCCTTTCATGAGATGTATAATAATTTACTGTTTATAGATGATTTTTAAAATAATGAGTAATTTTCAAGGTGTAAACTTTTTTTTGACTCCCACTGTATAGGCGTGAAGAAAATGGTCTAGAAACGTGATACGTAGCTGTACTTTAACATTTTATTAGGAGCTTTCGGCTTCTGAGGCCTTCTTCGGTAATCCACACTTGACCGCACATCCCTTACTACACGTACACATGTATCACATCAACTGAATAAACACACACATAGCACCGACATCCCAACACACAAGCAAGGTAAAACACTTTGAAATCGCACAATCATTTCTAAGTTTATTGCGAAGTATTTCTCGTAATAATTTTTGCTACGTTCATGATGCTTGATGACTATGCTTGAGTGATATTAAGTTTGTATGCCATGTATATTTGTTCATACAATGTATTTGTTTCTGTATATGTTAGCACTTCAGAAACTGAAGAAGGCCTCACAAGCCGAAAGCTTGTAATAACAGCTCGTACAGCTACGTCTCACGTTCCTAGACCATTTTCTTCACGTCTACATTTTCTGGAACACCCATTGTCATGTCCGAGTTGAGTATTCTTGCACTTTTATATATATATATATATATATATATATATATATATATATGTGTGTGTGTGTGTGTGTACATAATTAAAAAAAGAGTTCTATTGTATATATGCAAGTATGTTTATATAGTTATATACATATATATATATATATATATATATATATATATATATATATATATATATATATAAACAAATCACTTGATTAAATGTAATAAATAGGACTCATAGCACTACGATGATTTTGCCAATGGCTATTTTCTGGGTTTCCTTACCAATGTAGAGGGCGGAGGGGAGGACATACCCCTGCAACAATAAATAGAGCCAACGAGAGCACTGATAAACGCCATGAAACTAAGCACAACCAACACACACATTGGAACGATGATATACTGAAAATAAAAGACGATATAATCAAATAAATTAGGCTTCCTTTCATAAGGTAATACAAAAATCCATTTCAGTCAAGTAATCAAATTTAATGCATAAATCTTTGCGCTATACATGAACTGAACTACTATTATTATTATTAACAAATTATGTCATTCACCTGTTATGAATAATTGAATTTCGATAGTCAGAATGCAAATTGAATAATACAGTAGCCTAATTGTGCCAGGTAGGACAAACAATTCGCATTCTGACAAATGAAATCAATTATTCGTAACAGGTGAATGGAATAATTTGTAACGAGGCACTTAACAAAGGTCTGTGCATTACATTGGATTATATTACGAAAATGGCATATTGGGATCTCGTATATATCTCCGTTAAGTTCATTGTTGCGAATTATTTCATTCACCTGTTGCCAGAATGTAAATATCGTGCATTTTATGTTGTAAAGTGTAATGCAAGCCATTATGTTTGTTTAGCAACAATTAATGTACGTAGCTTGTATTCTTGCTATTGACAATAATGCAATAATAGCTCGGACATAAATGAGAGCATAGTTTTTAATGCAATTTGAAAAATGTCTATAATTGAGGTTAAAAGCATTGTTTCATGATATTTCTTCAAATTAAAACAAATGATGTGCTGATTTGATTGTCAAACTAGTATGACGGGCTATTGTTTTCATTTGAATCGTTTCTAACTGAAAAAAAGAAACAGGGAATCAACTCTGACAAGCAAGTATAGAAAGTCCCTCGTCTGCAAATGTGTTTTATGGTGATCACGGTTATAAATTTATTTATTTGGCATAATCTTTTCACGGGACTTTCCTACAATGACATTTTTTCACATCGGAAGAAACATACAAAAGGCTCAAAACTTGTGTGTGTGTGTGCGTGCGTGTAGAAATCAATTTTCTCTTTAAGAATCATTTCTCTTACCAAACAAGCATTAAAAACTTGACATTTCTCAAAAGTGCCATTGGTCGCAAAGAGGTAAATTAGAAAGCAGTGATATCCAAGTGCTCCAAGACTAGCAATTGCCGACAGGATGCAAGCAATCAAGAAAAACGCAATCTGAAATATTTATAAGAGAGAACAATTAGATCAATCGATCATGCTTTATATATATATTTCCCCCTCCATCGTTATACGTTCCCTTAAAATTTCGCACCTAACACAGTCCATGACATATCAACCCGCCCCTGTTGACCAAGCTTATATTTAACAATGTCTATCTATGTGCGCTGTAAATTTATAGCTATTTGACATAATCAGATGATAACAAACGCTTCTTAATGATTGAAATATAAAATTGCTTGCCCCATAATGTTAAAACAATATTATGTATTCAATCATTATTACTCTTATCAGGTTTTCTGGCCAAATTCATAGCTCTTTCATTACAATAATATTCAAAGGTTAATTCAATCAACATAGTTTCTCCATCATCTATAAATCATATAATTGATTTATAAAAAGAAATATAATATAATTACCATGCATGTGTATCTGCAGATTGTCCCAAGACCGAATAATGCAGTCAAAAGGTACAGCTGAAAAAAGAGCAAATAAATTAACTTATGTCATGGGCGGCGGAGCGTCTAAAGTGTAAGTGCAACAACTAAAAAGAGCACTTACTGGAAAGGGTGGCACCTATAAATTGTTATCTCAAAGTGAGATTATTTTTTTGTTTAGACATTGCTTTATACCCCTATATAAATTATACACATTGTAATTAAAACATTATACGGGATGATCTTCAACATTTCCTCTTTACATTGTCCGAGATATTGCTTCAGCACCATATTGTGCAGTTGTGTGTTATTGTCTGAAGATTCATTTGCGAGCGAGCGAAGTGACCAAACAAATATGTAAAGATACGTGAAGGTGATTAGATCAAGTTTAGATGAAATCCTCAATCCTGATGTAATTTTAAGCACAATCTTACAAGGAAGAATAGATGAAACCTTTAATATTTTACTTAATGAGATATTATAAATGCAAATGAGTGAAACGAGCGAATTCTGTTGAAATTTGAGAAGAAAAATGATGTCAGTCGCTTTGAATAAGGGGCATTTAAAAGGAGGCTACGACAAATCTATTATTTCGAGGGAGTTGAGAGGTGTTAAAAGAACACATCTCTATTACATGAATGACATGTTTAATGTAACGGCATTTACTTTGAGTAAATATTTCCCAAGGACTGTAAAGACATGGAATAACCTACAACAAGCAACCATCGACCAAACCTCCCCGCTCTCATTTAAAAATGCAGTTACTAAAGAACTTTTTTCCAAAATGTAATCGTCCACCCTCCACCACCTCCAGTCAAAACTCTTCTTCGGAGTATTTAGGAGGAAAATAAATCCAAGATCCAAGATCCAAGATCCAAGAAAACCATTAATTGCTTGAACCTTTTTCTACAAATGACAATTGATACGCTTGGCATTAGCTATGAAGTTAAAGATATCAGTTTAACGAAGCATCTTTTAGCAGTTGAGTTGAATATGCCATGTTAGTTTAAAGGGGCAGACGTTTAGTGTAATATATTAACATGAAGGGACATTTGATAGTTTTGAAAACGAGCGCGACTATGTTCTAAAAGGGGCACAGTTCACTATTACGGAACTTGGGGCATTGTGCCCCTTCCTCTCCCCCCTCCCCCTCCTTAATTCTCCGGCTATAACGACTTTTATCGTGGTGGTAGAGATATGGCTCCTGGCACTGCACAAAGAGGCCCTTATTCTTTGAACCTAGATAGTGTAAAAGGGAGCACTAATCAACATGGGCGTCGTATTCGAAACAGGGCAAAAAAAGCTGAACTGTGTGGACCAAACTTTATGTCACATGGTTGCGTAGTCCCGTACATGCATTTATGTGTACAGTGCATGCGACGTTCAGCCATATATTACTCAATATCTTATCATTTTGATGATTCGAAAACCTCTCAGTGTACTACACAATCAGCATTTTCCAATCGCTTTCGACAGGTTCATTCACAATAAAATCACATGACCAGAACTCAACTTTAGCTTTTTCTGTTAGAAATAACATTATGTAGCTCTCAAACTTACACCACATTGAGCGAAAGCGATAATCGGGTAGCCGTATTCGAAGATGACTGAAGAGTGTACTCCATGTGGGACGAAGATAATGGCTCCACACACTACCGAACCTATGGCGTATACAATCATAAACACCGCTGTACAGGTGGCCGCACCTGCACTGTAGTTTTCAGAATAGCCAGCCCGCTAATAAAAAAATTACAAAGAAATAAGTGTAGAGAGAACAAATATCGTGTGTTTAGCCAGGTGTTACTTTATACCCCTTTTTATTATTGTCTGCAGTTGAAAAAAGAACACTTCCTTGGGTTGTAAATGCATCGAATGCGACAGTTCTATAATCTCACCCCCCCCCTCTCTCTTCACCTCTCTCTCTCTCTCTGGCTCTCTGTCTCTCTCTCTCTCTGTCTCTGTCTCCCTGTCTCTCTTTGTCTGCCTGTCTCTTTCTTTCTCTTTCTCGATCTCTCTGTCTCCCTTTTCCCCTTTCTCTTCTATGACGTTTATTTTGCAACGAGATGGTTTTCATCAAAATTATCATAATTCATTCATTTCGATTGGGCCCCATTAACCCGCTGAGTAGTCAATTCTTTCCACCTGGTTCCAGTAGGCAATGGGTTAAATAAAGAAATATGAAGTACACCAGCATATTTTCTAATAATTACTGAGAGGTTCCTGAGATATTATAGGCATTTACTGATAAGGATTTGGGTCTATTTACCCAGAGTACATAGCATCAGTATTTGCTGCTCATCCCGCATCCAGGTCCTATAATTATAATAACCCCAGCATTACTAGGTTTGATTTCATACACCTGGGTCGAGAGTGACACATATTCAAGGCAACACACATTGGTCAAGGATGTAAGCAGCACGCAAGGTTCGAACCCGGGACTTACCGTACGAGAGGGCCTTTTCTTACGTCATTACAATGTTCGGATGTATCATTATCTTGAATCAATTATCATTTCCCGAGTTGTAAAAGAAATGGGAACATATATTGTAGATTTATGGTGGAATTCAAGTTTCTCCTTGCGTATGTCTATATTTATTTATTTATTTATGCATGTTCATAATTTCACAATTCATTGGAGTTAACAGCACATGAAAAAAAATATAACATAACGAATTGTTTTCAATTTTACAATCCATTTGAATTGACTTCACATGAAAAGAATATAACAATGTTTTATCAAAGACAAGTTATTATAAAATTTAAAGAATGAACACACAAAGGTGATGAAACATAAGCATAGAGCTTGACTCATTACAACACCTTTCAAATATATAATGTATGACAAATAAAACTCTTAAAGGGTTGTGAACTATTTACACTATTTATAAAGAACAAGAATACAAAAATAAAAAAGAGTAATATTGTTAAGTCTAGTAAAATTGTCTTATAGATCATTAAATAATTAAATATATGTTCGATATAATAAGAAGTGATATGTAGATTTATAAATATGTAAGTATTATCTTACATCTGTGAACTAATAAAACAACAGAGTGCTCTTTTAAAGGAGTTTGGTGATTTTATATTTTGAATATTGTTAGGTAAAGAATTCCATACGTCTGGACCCCAATGTCTGATTGATTTATCGGCTAATATTAATGTATGAAAAACAAGAAAATTACTTTCTGTTCAATTTTTAACTCCGCCACTAGTGTATTCGATTTATAAAAGTCCATACTAGATTTGGAATACCGCAATACACGATCAATAAAGTTGCATATTTCACTAGAAGAAATTCTGTACTGTTTTGTTTAAACTTACCGAGGGTCTATTCTCCATGATAGTAACAGGCTGCATGTTCAGAAAGGCTGGGTATACCTTTAAAATAGAAAGAAAGTATGAAAAGCGAAATTAACATTTTTACAATATCGACTTATGGTAAAAGATGATACTGTCTCCTTCTCTAACCGCAGGAAAATTCGAATTGGAATAGTCGTTAATGAAAGTATTATTCAATTTATTCATATTCGAAATAAAGCAATATATAACTGAGGAGCTAAGAGCACAATATTCTTTGCACAGTGCAGGCTGGTGACTTTTTGCAAGATTAGGTCAATGTCCAATCAGTTACCTGATACCCAAACCTCACAGAATAGTGAGAATACACCAACTAATATGTCATGTAGGCCTATGTGCTAAATACTTGTCCAAACGCTTTCAGTTTTCCTTGAATAGTGCAATGGCATAAACAGATGGCTACTTTATCTTTTAACACCTTGTTTAATATGCAGTCTTTCTTTTTCCATCACCAGTAAATGTGAAGGAGTTCAAGAATCAATAATAATAATAGTTCGTCCTTATATAGCGCATTTCAGGACCGCAGGCCCTCTCAATGCGCTTTACAGATATACCCCGGTCATCGGATTCATGCTTACCCGCAAACAAGGTATGCACATTATCCACTCCCTGGGGAGCATTCAAGCCAGTCGCCATTTTACAAGCGCCATTGCTAATCAAACTACATTAGCTTTCGCATCCTACCGGGTACCCATTTAACACCTGGGTGGAGAGTGGCAAATGTAGATCATTGTCTTGCCAAAGGACATTAGTGCCGCGGTGGAACTTGAACCGCGGACCTTGTGATCCACAGTCCGCTGACATATCCACTCGACCACGACACCTAAAGTTTAATTGTCCATATTTCATTTTCATTCCATTTATTTTCCACATTAAAAACCAATAAAATATATACAAGGTAACATATTACATTGTACACATTTGACATATAGAGCAAGTGAAAACAGATACATAAGCATAAAAGAACAATGAAAAACTACATCAGTTAACAAAATATAAACATTAAAGCATAAAAAGGTAAGTAATGTAGATGGGGCTAGAAAAAGCGAAGCTTATCGAGTCTAGCCCCGGTAGCAATGAAGGGGAAGTCCACCCTGAGAATGTGTGTGGCCAAGTAAAGGCGGAGTAAACCCATCCTCAGGGTGGACTCTCCCTTCAATGTCTGGTTTTATAATTAGATTAAATTGACCCGATGATAACATAATTGCGATTTGAAACATAATAATAATTGTTTTTAAATTGATATGACTATTTAGAATTGCAGAGATATTGTTTATATTTATACTTAAATTGTCGTAATGATGCAGATTGTTTGAGACTGTTATCTAAAGTAGACCATGTAAGGTAACCCTGATACTTAACACTTCTTTGGCCAGTAGCAGTTCTGTAATAAATGCTATGCAAATTCTTGGAGTTTCGAGTGTTATAACAATGTACATCACTGTTGCATCTAAACCAGTTTTGAAGTGAGTTTGGTAATAGTCCCTTTTCAGACCTGTACATAAATTCTCCCAGTTGTAACCTACCTAATTCATATACAGTCAAAACCCTTCATTGTTTAAAGATATTGTTGGTATGGGCCAAATAGTGAGACTTGGCAACTATGCGTATTACACGTTTTTGCAACAAATGTAAACGATTTAACAATGTATTTGATTATCCATAGCATATTACCATATTGTAAATGAGGAAGAATTAATTAATTGTATAGCAAGTGCAGTACCTTTGACGGTAATACAAATTTCAGTTTTGACATAACTCCAGTAATTCTCGAGATCTTCAATGCAATATCATTAATATGTAAAGACCATGATAACTTGTCATCAATATTAACTCCCAAGAAGCGGGCACTATGTACTTGCTTTAAGGGCTCTAGTGAATCAGCAAGCTTAAGAGTAAGTAAGTTCTTATCATATTGTTTATTCAATGGTGCAAAATGCATAAAATTTGTTTTCTCAATGTTTATCCTTAACCCATTCACTTTGTACCAAATATTAACCTTTTGTATTTCTTTATTCATATTATGGACAAGAGTATCTAGTTTCTTCTCGCTTAAAGAGACATTGGTATCGTCTGCAAAAATAATGTATGACAAAGTTGAGGAAACATTCGGCAAATCATTTATATATAGAATAAACAACAGTGGCCCAATTATTGACCCTTGGGGCACTCCGCATATAACTTCTTTTTCAAATGAAGTTGCATTATCATAAACAACATATTGTTTTCTTTCCTTCAAATAATCCTTTATCCACTGTAATGGCAAACCTCTCACACCATAGTACTCCAATTTGGATAATAAGGCTTGATGATTAATGGAATCAAAAGCTTTTGAGATATCCAATGACAAACAGAGTGAATGTTTGCTATCATCAAGGGAAGTAAGTATTTGGTCCAAAAAATATGTCAAGGCCAATATAGTTGAATGACCAGATCTGAAGCCATATTGAAAATTCGATAAAATCTCTCGTTTCTCAATGTAAGACAATAATCGAGAGTAAAATAATTTTTCCAAGATTTTGGAGAAAACGGGCAAGAGTGACACCGGTCTATAATTACAAAACTGCTCGAGGGAGCCTTTCTTATAGATCGGAGTGACCCTCGCCAGCTTCATACTGTGAGGGAATTTACCAGTGGAGAGGGAAAGGTTAAAAATATGTACCAATGGAGCAAGAATGAAATAGATTGATTCTTTAATGACAGAAACAGTTATATTATCATGACCAGGACTTTTACCTATTTTCAATGCCTTCGCTATATCTATAATTTCATGACCTTCTATTGGTTTCAGAAACATTGACTGATGATATTGACCATTCATATAAGATCTACACTTCAGCATGTCAATATTACTTGTGTCTGTGAACATTGTCCCAATGCCTATGAAATATTCATTGAATTTGTTTGCAATATCAACAGGATCTGTAAGTTTCTTATTATTTTCATCACGAAAACAGTCTTGGTTCTTTCTTTTGGTTCCCCTATTCAACATATTGTTAATAATATTCCCGGTTCGTTTACTGCAATTACTTTCTTCAAACTGCTTTGCATAGTAAGATTCTTTTGACCTTCGAATAATTGAAGTTAAAGTATTTCGATACTGTCGGTATACTTTTTTCCTGTATGCAGAAGGGTTCTTCAAATACTTTTTGTATAGCTCTATCTTTTTCTTACATGATTTCAGTATTGCTATTGTAATCCATGGTTTAGATTCCCTTTTTCGGCAACGCTTTTCTTTCAAAGGAAAACAAGAGTTCTGTATGATATTAAAATCACTGAGAAATACTTCATAGGCTCTGTCACATGATTCTTCATGCATCACATATTCCCAAGAATGTTCAGCCAGGGCAACCCTAAATTTTTCAAAGTTTGAGCGAGACATGTCTCTTGTATAAGTTTTAATACATTGATCGCGCTTAAGCCAATCACTACGTTTTGACCGATTGAAAACAAAAATTGGAAGGTGGTCTGAAATGTCTGCCAGTAAAATACCGCTTTTTAACACTAAACTTGTGTCATTGACAAAAATATTGTCAATGAGAGTTGAACTTGACTGAACTATTCTTGTTGCCTTTGTTATGAGAGGGGCATAAGAGTGAGAAAAAAACATTTCCAAAAAAGAGTTGACATGTTGTTCAGAGTGTACATCCAGTAAGTTTAGATTGAAATCGCCTAAAAAGTAACAGGTTTTATTTTCGCGACCAACTTTCTCTAGAATATTGTTAAGATCTGTTATAAAGTCAACACAGCTCTGAGAAGGAGGTCTATAAATTACTGCAATTATCAAGTTTTTACTATTACTGTGAGCTACCTCAATGAAGTAAGATTCAATATTTTCATTAAATACAGACAGATCAGTTCTTTCCTTAATATGAAATGAAGTTTTAGCAAACATTCCAACACCTCCTCCACGGGATGGTCGCCCTTTTCCATAATATTCGTAGCCAGCAAGTGACAATAGACAATCTGGACCTTTCGAAAGCCACGTTTCACTGAGCAGAATAAAATCAACTTTACACTTTAGCAAATCTAGAAACTCAGACATAGTATCAAAGTTTTTATTGAGACTGCGGCAATTAATATGCATTAAGGATATGTATTGTTCATCCAATAACAAAATTTCGTTATTAAGTTGATCAGGTAAGTAATACTCCGTTTCTTTGTCTATTATATTGTTCATTAGGTCTGTGCCGAAGTTATCAATGGCACTATCATTGCATGATTCTAGTAAATCTTTCAAATCAAAATTAAAAATAGGTAGTTGAGATGACATAATGACAAGTACAAGTACGAACACAACTTATGAAAAAACAAAACAAATTTTAAAATACAAGAGATGTATAAAAATATCAGGATCCAAAAATCGACCCATCTGGAATTTTCTAAAAGTTTTTAAAAATTTCACAACTCGACACAATTATTTGTTTCTTTCCGTGCACAGTGTTCCATACGGTATAATTTCTTCACAACAGTACTTACAGCATGCATGCTGAATTAGAAATCACAGAGCCCAGAGGTCTTCGCGACAGGTGATCAGCTTCTTGGCAGCTTTGCTCCCGTTTGTATGTAATGATACATACATTTGTTTCTCATAAGTGTAAAAATACATCATAGTCATGAACATGATATTATATGCTGAGAGCCAGAATGGTGCTTTAAGGGCAAACCGAAACCTTGTGATAAGTTGATTTGAATGAAAGCAGACAATCAGATAATCAGAGACAAACGTTTGAAGAAAGAGACAATTATGGAATGTATATCAATTGATCGACTTGCGTGTCGCCTATTGAAACGTGCTAGTATGGCAATGACGTAGTATGTAACATATACGAACAGAATTTCTATAGGAAATACAATAGGGTATTGAAATCAGCCTTAAGTTGATTTTGGGGAAAATAATTGCCATCGTGTAAAACTGATATAAATAACGATACCGTAACTTCCTCCAGTCAACGAGAATAGAGAGAGAGAGAGAGAGAGAGATCGACAGCTAGAGCGAGTGAGAGAAAAAAAATGGGGAAAAAAGAAGAGGAACAAAAATCAGGAAAAAGAGAGAAAGAGAGGGTAGTAAGGAATCAGGAGCTGCAAAGGCGTATTCTAATGTTTTTGAGCAAGAGAAAAAGTTGAAGATAAAGTTAGAGAGGGTGTAGACAAGAATAATAAAAAGTAGAATGTGAGACTTTGACAGGGAAAATTAAATAAGAAAAGAAATTAAAGAGAGAGAGAGAGAGAGAGAGAGAGAGAGAGAGAGTGAGAGAGAATGATAGACGGAGAGAGAAACGGGAAGAATGAATTTGAATAGAACTACTAGTACGTCACAAGTAGAAGTATGAAAGGCAAACACGCTAACCACACAATAGTTGCCAGGCGTACCTATCGAAAAAAATTCTTTTCTCATAAATAATACAAATTCTCGATTTTGTTGTCTTTTTATGTTTGTCTATGCAACCATGACAAACATGTAGCTGCGCACTTGGCATTGAGGAACCAATTTATGCTTACACAAAAAGCTGTTCTTTGCATTAGAACACAAATATTTTGTAACGTTAGCCTCCCCATTTCTCATAGACGCATCAAGGCTTGGTTAACTTGGTAAATTGCCGTTTGCCCGTCTACCATCCATGTTGTCTATTAATCATTTCGCCTACTTTTCTACTGCCCATTTTAAGTTATTGTTCATTTAGTCTAATAACCAATTAGTCTAATGGCCAATTCTACTAACGCTCATTTCGTCTCACCTCCGTCGTGTCGATTAATCATTTGATGATTATATTTATTATTCATGATTATTTTACCCTCGGGTAGGACGTTAATTGATGCCCCGTGTAAAAAAGGCCGCCACCTTTAATTGCATGGTAAGAACATTAACCCACTGCACTATCCATATACAAGTAAGGGGAACACCTGCACCCCCACCCCCCCCCTCCCCGAACCAGTTATACCGGGAGGAGAGACCAGAGGGTCACAAGGATTAAGTTCGCCATTACCCTTCTAGGCACAATAATATTAATAATATTTAGCTTTTATATAGCGCTTAATACAAAATATGTCTGTAAGCGCTTTACAAAATAATATACTATTACCCCGGTCATTGGATTCAGTGCTTGCAATAAAGTAACGCCAAATATACTTAACACTTTATATATATATATATATATATATATATATATATATAAAGATATATGTTTATACAAGTCATTGGATCTGTGCATGTAAAAACGTATTAAAACAAAATGAATATAAAATGCTTTAATATATATTGCAGCCGCTTTAAAGAGCCGCTGCAAAAAAGACAAATGTGTCATTCCAAATTTCTCGAAAAATGACACTTCTTTGGAGGCTATGGTCAAGTGTTGTTATTTAAAACCTCACTCAGAAAAAATCCTCGAAAGATAAATTTATCCATTTTAATGAATCAAATTACAATCATGCTGCTTGGAACTTTCCAATGTACTTTATTCGTAAGACAATTCTCGTTGGATAATAACAATAATTACATTGCTCTTTCGGAAGGATCTTTTCTTTTTTTTTTTTTTTTTTTTCGTGTGAGGAATATTTTACAGAAGAATCTAATATTATTTTACAGAAAACATACCTAGTTCACAGCATGAACAACTTCCTTTCAAACAGACATAAATGATTCGGGGAAAATACCATCGCACTCTTTACCGCATGAACTCGGTCGGTTGCCACCGTTTTGTGAATACAGTTGAATAGTCTTATGTCAATAAGTCATTGTTTGATGGATTCGTCATAGTTTTAGTGGTTGCTAAATAAAGTTAAATAAACACATATCAAAAGTCGCTGTTTATGAATTTGCCACAGTTTTCCTGGTTACCTCCCACTTACTTCTACCAAGTTCACTGAAGTACGAGAATGCTCTAAGTACTTATATATCCAGACATTTCATATGAAGAAAAAAATCACAGAGTAATGATTTGACATATTACTACCTAATATTATGTATTTTCACAAGATGTGGGTTCCCTATCGATCATTCATCAAATTAATGACATATACACATTTGGTATAGGCTCGTTACAGAAGGCCATCCTTTTCGAATCATTCCGTCGAAAACTATCAAAAATTGAATGAACAGTAGGAAATTGTAACGTTTAATTTATGGTTGATAGGAAATTCAACTGCTGTGAATAGTGTAGAGAGTAAATCTATCACATTGTATGCACATATATAGTAAATGTATTGAGTAGTATGTAGAGAGTAAATATATCGAGTATAATAATAATAATAATGATAATAGCCTAATAATCCACTCCAAATTTTATTGAACCGAAACGGAAATTCTTTTTGCCCAATATTGATCGTGAGCCCGGCAGCCACTGAGCAGCGCCAGATCGACGTTGTTCTATCCCTTATTGTTGAACGCAAAACAAGGTAGCAACAACTCCCATCTTTTAACGTAGTATGTAGTATGTAGAAAGTAAAACTATCAATTAGTATTTAGAGATCGGTATGTCCATTGAATGGTATACATACAGTGAATCTATCGAATAGTACGTAGAGAGTATTTCCATCACATTGTATGCACATAGTTCATATATTCAAATGGTATGTAGTGAGAAATTCCATTGAGTAGTACATACAAAGTAAATATATTGAATACTAGAGAATAAATTTACCACAAAGTCTGGAAGAGTAAACCTATCAAATATAGGAGTGTAAATTTACCACAAATGAATATATTGAATAGTATGTAGAAATTATATCCATCGAATATTAGAGCGCAAATTCATCACAAAGTATAAACAGAGTAATTATATCAAATTTGTGAGCGTAAATTTACCACAAAGCATTAAGAGCGCTAATATATTGCATATAAGGTAAAGAGTAAATATATCGAATAGTATGTGGTACATAATTACTGTATATGACGGTACTTACGAGTATATAAGCGGAGTATTTATGAGGCTGAAGTTCCAGTTCCGATGATTAGCTAGCAGCTACTTCTCGCTATGATTGCCGATAGTGAAAGAGAATTGATACCAACGGAGTGATTAGCGTAGCATGCGATGGAACGAATGACGCATTATACGTGTAGTTTACTTTTCAATTATTGGGTCACTGCTAGTCCAGAATCTGCACGGTCCTTTATAATTTCCCTACACACTCTTTATTCAAGCCGTCGAAGATGGCGTTATCAACAAACTCATAATTATGCTCACAAGCCGGGCGGCGCGTTTCCGTTTTACACCCTGCCCTAGGCTTTTCGGCAAGAAATTACACGAAACATGCTGTATCCGAAGTCTAAGTTTGTTTATATCGACGTCAAGAATAGCGAAGCCAAAGCTTATGTACAATTTCAATTGGGGATGCGAGGGTCTTCTTGTTCAAGACGGTTTTCCCGATATATTATTGTTTTGTTATCGCTGGGCTAAATTTTGCGAGCTGATCACGCATCCTCACGCTCTTAGAGTATTGCGTATTAATGGATAAAAATAAATGATACGACTAGGAAGATCAACTAGTTAGTATAGAGAGTTAGCTAGCGCTATACGTGACGTTTTCAGAGTTCTGGTGGTGTGCAGAGCGCCGAGGCAAGATGTGGACGACTAGACTCCGAATACCAGTCGGTTTGTAAAATTTTATTGGAGAAAAGCCTAGGGCAGGGTGTAAAACGGAAACGTACCTAATTTAATGATCACGCCATCATCGGCTGGTAGCAAGTAAGTAGGGAGAGGTAGCGTTGGTGTGGTGGAGATCAAAATTAAATAGGCCAGAATCTGGACTAGGTCACTGCCAGAATTCATTGAACCTCTCTATTCTCTTCCTCCACCCATACTCATACACCCTCTCTCTTTCGCTGTCATACGCTGTAACTCCCATTTCCATTTGCAACTTAATTCATTTCATTTTGTTTTAGAAAATATTATCTTATTATCCACTTCATTTCTCTCTCTCATATGCTCCTCTCTCATTTGTGTTCTACCCTCTCTCACTCCCTCTCCCTCGTTCCATATCCCCCCTCTCTCACTCTCACTCTCAATCTCTCTCCCTCCCTCTCTCCCTCTCTCTCTCTCTCTCTAATCACGAAATATTGGCGTTCGAAAAATAAAATTCGTCGCGTTTTGCACAAAGTGGGACGTTTCCATATAATCTGTGGATATTTGGGGGTCATTTGTACAAGTGCTCTCTCCAAAATGGCTTATTCTTCTAGATCAAATGGAATGTTTGTATCTTGCTTACAGAATATAATGGCCTATGGGGCTACAGCTCAATTGACCGATGCCCGTGAGATCGAAAATCATATGTGTGCAGACAGGGGCGTCGCTAGACCTTTTTCAGTCGGGGTGTAGAGGCCACCGATTACCGACAAATGTCCCAATACCTATGAATTTAACCCTATAAACCCGGGGCCGAAGGCTACATTATTTTTTCCTATGAACTATATACTTGCGTATGCGCACAAGGTCATTTTCCTCGACGACATAAAGATACGATGATTTATTCTCGTCTTTTAATCCTTACCTGAATTCAGTTTCCCCCGCCCCCCCCCCCCCCTCTTCCCGCGCAAAGCGCGGAAGCTTTGACGTTTCCTTAAATTATTAGAGAAAGAAGACGATTCGTTGTACTGTTCTCGACTTTTAATCCTTGTCTGAATTCAGATCCCCCACCCCCCCCCCCCCTTCCGCGCAAGTTTTGATGGCTTTGATGTTCCATTAAATTATAATAGAAAGAAGACGATTCGTTGTACCGTTCAGTGTCGACTAGGCGTTGTGGCATGTGCCTGTAATCCAGCTAACAGTGGAAGTCGCAAAATGATTCAGGTGAGGACGCAGGTTCGAAACTGAGTCACGTCTTTCGGACGTTTAAAGGTCGGTCCCCAGACGTAAATAATCATATTTGATTAACACACGTCTGTAAAAACCCATCACACACACACCTCTCGCGGAAGCTATGACGTTTCATTAAAGTATTAGAGAAAGAAGACGTTCGGTGTAGCGTTCTCGTCTCTATATCTGAATTAAGTTTCCCCCCTCTTGCGCGAAGCGCTGAATTTTTACGTTTCCTTACATTTTCAGAGAGAGTGCTGTTAGTAACTTAAAAGAGCTTGAAAGAGCTTGAAAGAGCTACCGGTACTTACCTATACCTTTGCATGGTGGCAGTTTCACACCGGCGAGGACAAGCCAGAACGGGTGTGAACCACTAGACCCTACACTGCATAGGCGCCGGAAGTGGGGGGGCAGGGGGGGCAGTTGCCCCCCCAGTCAAAAAAGTGGGGGGGCAAAACGCATTTTTGCCCCCCCAAAACGCCCCCCCCCCCCTCCAAAAAAAAAAAAAAAAAAAGCAGTAAAGGAATAAACATGGTTTGTATTTTTAACCCAAAAGAACATAACAATAATAAAAACCTGAATTAAAGCACATATACCATTCCATTCAAAGAAAAGGAAAGTTCACAGGAATTAAATTTTTATAAACATTGTGCATGCTACCTATACGGTTTATAATAGCGATACGCGCATATCGTGGACATATTGTGCGAGAATGGGAAAACGTGTCTGTTTTTTTGGTTTTGTTATAGGGGTGAGAAGACATGAGCCCCTGAACGCTGGCGTACTGATGGGGGGGGGGGGGGTATATCTATACGATACCAGTGATTTACACATGTTGCTGTTATGACATGATTTTCCGGTATTTTTTCTCCATTTTTTTTTAAGTCATACCTTTTTATGCGTTTGTTGGAAAATAAGAAATTCCCAAATTACAGTCGGGCGAAAAATACGCTTATTTAGAAGCCTTTATGACATGGTCTGCAAAGTGGCTGGGCTCGAGCCCCTCCCCCCTCACTTTTTGAAAAAGTATGTTAAAGAGAAAAAGAAAGAAAGACGGAGAGAAAAAATAAGTGACCTGCCAATGTCACAAATAAGGCATAAAAAATGCTCATCTGACCGTAATTAAATGCCTAAAACCCCAGAGCTTACGGGTGCTCCGCCCCCGGACCCCACCAAGGGCCCTAAGGCGGGCCCCTGGATGCTCATCTGACCGTAATTAAATACCTAAAACCCCTGAGCTTCCGGGGGCTCTGCCCCCTGGACCCCACCAAGGGCTCTAAGGCGGGCCCCTGGATGCTCATCTGACCGTAATTAAATACCTAAAACCCCTGAGCTTCCGGGGGCTCTGCCCCCTGGACCCCACCAAGGGCCCTATAAGGCGGGCCCCTGGATGCTCATCTGACCATTATTAAATACCTAAAACCCCTGAGCTTCCGGGGGCTCTGCCCCCTGGACCCCACCAAGGGCCCTATAAGGCGGGCCCCTGGATGCTCATCTGACCATTATTTAATACCTAAAACCCCTGAGCTTCCGGGGGCCCTGCCCCCTGGACCCCACCAAGTGCCCTAGGGCGGCCCCTGGTTGCTCATCTGACCGTAGTTAAATACCTAAAACCCCTGAGCTTCCGGGGGCTCTGCCCCCTGGACCCCACCAAGGGCCCTATAAGGCGGGCCCCTGGATGCTCATCTGACCATTATTAAATACCTAAAACCCCTGAGCTTCCGGGGGCTCTGCCCCCTGGACCCCACCAAGGGCCCTATAAGGCGGGCCCCTGGATGCTCATCTGACCATTATTCAATACCTAAAACCCCTGAGCTTCCGGGGGCCCTGCCCCCTGGACCCCACCAAGTGCCCTAGGGCGGCCCCTGGTTGCTCATCTGACCGTAGCTAAATATTAAAACCTCTGAGCTTCTGGGGGCTCCCCCCCCCCTCTGGAACACGTCAATGGCCTTAAAGAGGCCCCTGGATGCTCATCTAACCGTAATTAAATACCTAAAATCCCTGAGCTTCCGGGGGCTCAGCCCCTTGACACCCTGCCGAGGCTGGACCCCACGCCAATTTACGCTCTACCTGATCGTTAATACTTCACTTTGAAAAACGTTCCGCGGGACCTGCATGTAACGTGTAAGACTGGTGGTGATGCAGATTTTTCGTCTGCCCCCCCCCCCCTTCCGAACGTTTTTTCTCATTACGTCACTGCCCTCGGAAGGTGAGCCCCCTGGAATGTTTGCCCCCCCAATCCCAAACTGCTTCCGGCGCGCCTGCCCTACAGTGACTGGTCGGAGGATGTCGGGAGTTCCATATCGTCAATCGACCTCAATGCTGTCACGGTGGCACTATATCAATATTAGTACTCTTTTCCTTTTCCTTCCTTCTCTCTTTTTTGAGCGGTCTTTTGCCCCCCTCGATCCACAACTTGTTGGCGGGAAAATTGCAACTGATATCCCCCTTCTTTTCTTTTCTTCTTCCTATTTTGTCCTTCCCTTTATCTCCTCTTTATCTTTTTTCTTTCCCTTTCCTTCATTCTCTTTTATTTTTTTATTTGGGGGGGAGGGGAGGCAAGTCCTCCCCCCCCCGATCTCCTTCTTCTCTCTTTTCTTTTCTTCTTCCTCTTCTTTTTTTCCCCTTTCTCTCCTCTTTCCCTTCTTTTCCTTCTCTCTCTCTCTCTCCTTTTTTTTTTTTTTTTTTTTTTTTTTTTGCGGGGGGGGGGGGGGGGGGGCCAAGGCACGCTCGGCCCCCCCTCGGTACCCATTTAACACCTGGGTGGAGAGTGGCAAATGTCGATCAATGTCTTGCCAAAGGAAATTAGTGCCGCGGTGGGACTTGAACCGCGGACCTTGTGATCCACAGTCCGTTGACATATCCACTCGTCCAGAACCAGGGCATAAGGGACTGCCCAGGCAGGGGAAAGGGAAAAAGAAGAGGGGAAAAAAAGGGGGAAAAGGAGGGGGAAGAGAAAAAGTTACGAAAAAAAGAGGAAAAAAGCTATATTAATACCCCGTGACTTCATGAAAGAACTTCACCTGAACTTTTCCCTAGTTTGCACCCCTCCCGTCTTATGAGGGTCCTTGATTCCCACTTTCCCAATTGTCTGGGGCAATTTAAACAAAAAATGATTGCAAAAATGAATGGTTTGACTGTAATTTTGACTTTTACGGTTTAATTTCATCTCATCCAATAGGTTTTTTTTAATGCTTAATTTCAATATTTGTAATAGAAACGTTTGTATAGCAATTGTTAAATACTTTCTCAACTCTTTCGCTCAAACAACTTCCTTTTTTCTTCTCCATTCTCTCCTTCCCACCTTTTGGTCTTTCAACTTGAATGTATAT